ATGGAGATTTCCTGAGTAGACAAGGACAAAGCCCAGACTGTGGGGGGCCAAGCCCACAAAGGCCTCAAGTGTGTTGGAGTCCTAGATAGAAACATTCCCCTGCATGTTTCTATCTGTCTTAGGTGGCTGGGTGAGGCTGTTGTAGAATTTAACTGCAGCTTTGTTGCATTAGATTTGCAGAGGCCCCTGCTACGTTGCTGGACCAGTGGAGCCACTGGACAATCGAGATGCTAAAGGGGCACTCAAGGATGACAAGGCCATTGCGGAGAAACTAAATGAATTCTTTGCATCGTTCTTCACGGCCAAGGATGTGAGGGAGAGTCCCAAACCTGAGCCATTCTTTTTAAGTGACAAATCTGAGGAACTGTCCCAGATTGAGATGTTGTTAGAGGTGGTTTTGGAACAAATAGATAAACTAAACAGTAATAAGTCGCCAGGACCAGATGGTATTCACCCAAGAGCTCTGAAAGAATTCAAATGTGAAATTGCAGAACTACTACCTGTAGTCTATAACCTATTATTTAAATCTGCTTCTGTACCAAATGACTGGAGGATAGCTAATGTGACTCCAATTTTTAAAAAAGGGCTCCAGAGGTGACCCTGGGAATTACAGGCAGGTAAACCTGACTTCAGTATCTGGCAAACTGGTGGAGACTATAGTAAAGAACAATATTGTCAGGCACATAGATGAACGTAATTGGTTGGGGAAGAGTCAATAGAGTTTTTGTAAAGGGAAATCATGCCTCACCAATCTACTAGAGTTCTTTCAGGGGGTCAACAGGCATGTGGACCAGGGGGAACCAGTGGATATAGTGTACTTAGATTTTCAGAAAGCCTTTGACAAGTTCCCTCACCAAAGGCTCTTAAGCAAAGTAAGCTGTCATGGGATAAGAGGGAAGGTCCTCTCATGGAGTGGTAACTGGTAAAAGATAGGAAACAAAGGGTAGGAATAAATAGTCAGTTTTCAGAATGGAGAAAGGTAAATAGTAGTTTCCCTCAGGGGTCTGTACTGGGACCAGTCCTAGTCACCATATTGATAAGTGATCTGGAAAAAGGGGTAAACAGTGAGGTGGCAAAATTTATAGATGATACAAAACTTCTCAAAATAGTTAAGTTCCCCAGCAGCCTGCAAAGAGCTACATAAAGGATCTCACAAAACTGGGTGACTGGGCAACAAAATGGCAGATGAAATTAAATGTTGATAAATGCAAAGTAATGCACATTGGAAAACATAATCCCAACTATACATATAAAATGATGTCTAAATTAGCTGTTGCCACTCAAGGAAGAGATCTTGGCGTCATTGTGGATAGTTCTCTGAAAACATCCACTCAGTGTGCAGTGGCAGTCAAAAAAGCAAACAATGTTGGGAATCATTAAGAAAGGGATAGATAAGACACAAAATATCATATTGCCCCTATATAAATCCATAGTACGCCCACATCTTGAATGCTGTGTGAAGATATGGTTGCCCCATCTCAAAAAAGATATATTGAAAAAAGTTCAGAAAAGGGCAACAAAAATTATTAGGGGAATGGAACGGCTTCCGTATGAGGAGAGATTAATAAGATGGGGGCTTTTCAGCTTGGAATAGAGACAACTAAGGGGAGATATGACTGAGGTCTATAAAATCATGACTGGTGTGAAGAATGTGAATAAGGAAGTGTTATTTACTCCTCATAACACAAGAACTAGGGGTCACCAGAAGAAATTAATAGGCGGCAGGTTTAAAACAAAAGGAAGTATTTCTTCACACAACACAGGGTCAGTCTGTGGAACTCTTTGCCAGAGGATGTTGTGAAGGCCAAGAGTGTAATAGGGTTCAAAAGATAAGTTCATGGAGGATAGGTCCATCAATGGCTATTAGCCAGAGATGGTGTCCCTAGCCTCTGTTTGCCAGAAGCTGGGCATAGGCTCCAGTGGATGGATCACTTGATGATTACTTGTTCTGTTCATTCCCACTGGGGGACCTGGCATTGGCCACTGTCGGAAGACAGGATACTGGGCTAGATGGACCTTTGGTCTGACCCAGTATGGCCATTCTTATGTCTCAGGGGAGGCTCTGGCAGTGCGACATGCCATGCCATCTGCGTGCTTCAGGCAGGAGGGTTTTCAGGAGATTTAACTTGCAGAGCTGCTAACAGTGGCTTGGATTTCACTCTTTGCTTGGTAGTTTGGATTGTGTCAATACACAAAGTCAAGGAGGGGGAGTAGCATGAAGCATGGCCACCGGGAGAGCTGGAAGTGGATCTAGAAGCTGCTGTAGACACCTCCAGGAACAAAGTGTGGGGGTGGTGATGGGGGAATTCTCTCCCATCCCCAGAAAACTTGGTAGGGCTGTGGGATATCTAATACTTGGTGGATGGTTCCACAGACTGAGTGGAAATGCTGGTCCTAGAATCCAAATCTCTGGGCTCAGCGTCCTGTGCCCTATTGCAACAGACCATTCTGCCTCCCTTGGGAGCAGCCCCCACACTACAGTGGGGCTTGGCTGTAGTTCTGCCTCTAGCTGACCAAGTTACTTTAGTGGCCAAATGCTGCCTAATAACTGTCTTCAGCACCAGCCCCCTCGCTTTCCCTCTGTATGTAGGATGGTCTCTAGAGGGTAGGCGTGCCTCTCCCTTCTAACCTGCACCTTCACGCCAGCTGTCCCTCTCTTCTGTGTGTGTATTGCTGTAAGGGTGCTATCATATCAGAGTCGGCCTCTGTGTTGGAGAGCCCCAGCATAAAGCCCCTGTTGCTGCCTCTGTGAAAAGCATCATGCTGAGGTCCTGTAAGCATCCCATCGAGCAACTTGGATGTAAATGACCACTAGTGGAGCTGTGTAAAACCCAAAGAGCTGCGGCTGCCCCCTCCATCTGGTGTTCATCCAACTTGCTGTCACTGATGGGACTGGCTTCTTTATTTGTATTGTAGTGCCTAGGAGCCCAGCCAGGGAGCAGGCCCCCATTGTGCTAGGGGCTGTACAAACTGAATGAAAAGACCACCCCGTCCTAAAAATCTTACAATGCACATTTATTTTAATGTGAGTTTATTACACTGGTAAGGTGACGGCCTCTCTCGGAGAACATGCTGTGGGTAAAAAAGGGGCTGGGGCCTCTGTGCTAGGTTGTTCTGAAATTTCCCTCTGTCCCCCTGGACTCCCTATGCCCTGAGTAAACTTAGAGCAGTCCAATAACCCTGACTCGGCTTGCTACTAAACTAAGAGCCAGGCATGATAGCAGGGGATCTGTAGTAGAAATGCCATCTTTCACTGAACTCCCAAAAGCAAGGTCCTGAACCCATCTTGGAAAATCTTATTAAAAATTAGAGACATTAGCACCCATGACCTTGGCCTTAATTCCAGTTCTAACTCTGCCAGGCTACTGTCCACTGATACACTGCTCTAGCCCGCTCCAGAGATGACTGAAGTGACCCTTGTGGAGCTGGTTTAGAGGAAAATTGGATCCTGCAGAAATATTCAGGATTGGGGGTTAAATTGTATGGAACTAATTAACCTGTATGCAAATTATTCTTAGCTGTTCATATACGTGAATTAGTTTTGACCTGCAGTTACTATGTGCAGGTCTTTCTGTACATATGAAAATAGCTTACATTGACGTTATGCTGCTAATAGCAATTTATCTGCTTTAATTATATTTATTTGCCTCTCCTCTAAAGCTTGGGAGAAGGTTAGTATCAGGTGATTCCAAGGGCAGAAGGGACAATTGTGATCATCTAGTCTCACCTTCTGTGTGACATAGGCGATAGAACTTCCCCACAATAATTCCTAGAGCAGATCTTGAAGAAAAACATCCGATCTTGATTTGAAAACTGCCAGTGATGGAGAATCCATCACGACTCTTGATAAGTTGCTTCTATAGTTAATTACTCTATGTTAAAAATTGACACCTTATTTCCAATCTGAATTTATCTAGCTTCAGCTTCCAGCCCGTGGATCATGTTCTTCCTTTCTCTGGTAGACTGTGGAACCCATTATTAACTATTTATTAAGTATTTGTGTGTGCTGATGGGTAAGGAGGGGGAGCAGTGTGGATTCCAGCATCGGTCTAGGACAGTCGTTCTCAAACTTATTTGATCGTGCCCCTGTCTTTGTGTCTATAGTAGTTTACACACATACCCCCACCTCTTGCCACACAAGTACATATACTGATTTAACAAAAATCAACATGCAACTCTCCCTAGATATTAAAAACAGTAAGGCGTTGATTCAAACAGCGCCAACGATCCATTGTAATAAGAGCAAAAGCCCCAAACTGATTGTGGTCGCTGCTTACAATTAAATGTGCACAAAGGGATTAACGCACAGAAGGCACCGACTTTATATAATGGTATGTAAGCTCAACCGAACTCCATCATCAGGCTGCACGGTGCCAGCTGGGGCCCTGAGATCTCTGGAGGAATCAGGTTTGCTAGTTATTCAGTGCTGTGGGTAAAATGTGTGCAGTAAGTTTTTTTTTTTCCCTTAAACTTCTCCACCCCCTCTTCCTCCCGATACATTCCCCTCCCCACCCCACCCCATCCCCAGTTTGAGAACGTCTGGTCTAGGAGTTTAGTGCTGTTACGACCATCGCCCTGGATACCCTATGGAGGTTTGTGGTATAAGAACGAGACAGACACATCTCTGCTGTGGTTGGCTGACTTTGTAACATTGTAGCCCACCTTGACCTTGAAACTGAGCAAGGCCTCACTTCTGAACGCCTCAACATAGGTTCTAATTGTGCTTGATCCCCACAGAGCAATGGCGACCGGAAGTAGAGGGTAGCTCCCACAGAGCAATGGCGACCGGAAGTATAGTAGAGGGTAGCCCCCACAGAGCAATGGCAGCCGGAAGTAGGATAGACGTTTATCCCCACAGAGCAATGGCAGCCGGAAGCAGGGTAGAGGCTTAGCCCTACAGAGCAATGGCTGTCCCAAGGAAACCATAGAGACTGGGGTCCAGAGGAGGCGTCGCGTACCATAGAGTGGCTCTGTGTCCGGCCCAGAGCGCCTCCCCGGCCCGCTCATTGACTCTCACCCAAGATGGCGCAGCAGGTGAACATCACGGAGCTGACGCTGCCGCAGCTCGAGGTGCTGAAGAACCAGCTGGACCAGGTCAGCCCCCCCCCCCCCCCCCCCCCCCCCCCCCCCCGCGGGGCCCCCCCCCCCCCCACCCCCCCCCCAATCCCCTCTAAGGGGCCCCGCCCCCCCCGCGGAGAGACCCCCTGCCCCGAGCCTGGGGAGCCCCATCCCATCCCTCTGCCCTGCCCCCATAGTGATGCCGGGTTCTACCCCGGCCCCATGGGCGCTGGGCTGTGCTCTTCCCCCCAGGAAGTGGAGTTCCTCTCCTCCTCCATCGCCCAGCTCAAGGTGGTGCAGACCAAGTACGTGGAAGCCAAGGACTGTCTGAATGTGCTCAACAAAAGCAATGAAGGTCAGTGCAGACCCCCTCCCTGCGCCCCAGCCCCCTTCCCACCCCGTTCCCCCCAGGCCAGTCTGGGGATGGTGCAGTCGCAGAGGGCCCCCCTTGGCGTTTGCATGCGGTTAAGCCCCCCGAGCTGCTCGTGTCCTCTAGCTTTGTGTATGTGTCTTGGCTCTAGGCCACCTGGAATGGCCTCCCTCTTCCCATGGACCAGGTCCCAAGGGGAGGGAGTTTTCACTAGTGGTTAGAGCAAACCACTGGGAACCAGGACTCCTTGATCCTGGCTCTGCCACTGACTTGCTGCGTGGCCTTGAGCAGGCCACAGTCCTGGTTGGTGCCTCAGTTTCCTTACAGGGCGTGTGTGTGTGTGTGTAATTAATTCAAGAGCTCTGAGATCTGGATGAAAGATGCTATGGAGGGACCAAGCGGCCAAGCGTTACTATTAACTTGACCCAACTGTGCAAAGCCTCTGAATGCTGATGAGCACCCCATAGTCGTGGCTTTCCCAGGCAGCTTTGGCACACACCCCCCCCCCCGCTCCCACGCTGCTGTTTGGAGGCCCCGCCCCCGTACTGTGCGGTAGGGGGTAGTGTCTGGGTAATAACAGGCATTTGTTTCTGTCTCCAGGGAAGGAGCTGCTAGTCCCGCTAACCAGCTCTGTATCCTTTACCCACCACCTCAGAGATGCTGCCGACATTGTGCTCTGGCTCCTTGCTACCCTGGCGTTTTGATTCTCACCCCAACGGGGAACGTAATCCTTCGGGCCCCAGGATGCAGCCTGCTCTGCCTTTGATGCAGCTGGCAGCTAGCAGGCTAGTGTTGAACATTTCCAGTCAGGGAACTGGAGGCTGGGAACAGTCACAGGGACGCTTTACGTCACTAGTCTAAATCCTGCCTGGATTGACGGTGACCGAAGCTGCTCCCATTGGACGGCTGTTCCAGTGACCTCTCTGTTAAATGATCTGTGCTGTTCCATGTGGCCTGCCATCCACATCCCAAACCCACACCCCAGCTGGCCCATTAGCCCCCTCCTTGCCAGAGGGGCCATGAACCAAGGAGGCTGGTAGAGCATGAGCTCCCCTCTAACTCCGTGGTAGGGCTGAGGCTTGTTGGCCAAGATGTACTGGGGGCACTTGCCCTGCTACTGCTTGGGTTGTACCTGCTCTGGGAATGAACAGGGGCTTCTAGTTCTATGCTCAGACCCTGCTGCCTCCTCTGCCAGTTTCCAGCGATACTGGGATATTGCAATGCTCTTGGCATCTCTCTGTAACCTCCTCCCATTAATCCTGGCTTGGGTTTCTCCTCTGGCCAAGCATCACCTAGGGGCTTTGGGACTGATCTGATCTTTTGATTCCTGTTGAAATTGGTTCTAGTCGTTCCCAGGGGCCTGCACAGTTCATATCTAGCAACATGGTCCAGTGGTCAGGGCACTGGCCTGTGACCTGGGTTCTATTCCCAGCTGTAGCACTGACCTGTTGTGTGACCGTGCGTGAGTCACTTCCTTTCTCTGCACCTGTTTCCCATCCCACCTTCTCTGTCTTGTCTGTTTGGACCGTGAGCTCTCCAGGACAGAGACTCACTCTCTCTCTGCATGTTTGTGCAGCACCCGGTTCAGCGGGGCCCTGAGTTTGGTCAACCCTTCAACCTGCCACCACAATATAATCTAGTAAAACACTGTATTAAACTGAAGCTGTGGGCGAATTGCACTCTCAGATCTGCCCGTGCTCAAAGGAGCTCTGTTGCTTTATAGCAGCTCAGGATCTGGCCCCTTGCAGGAGGTGTGGAGCTAAGATGCTTTGCCCAGGACCTATCACCGTAACCTTGTTGCTCTCTTATGGTTCCCCTGCTGGTCCTGTGTTTTCCCTTGACCTCCCTGGCAGATGTACGTCCCCGGGAAGCTCTCCGACGTTGGCCACGTGCTGGTAGACGTGGGGACAGGCTACTACGTAGAAAAGGTAGGAGGCACTCGTGAGCCAAGCCACCGTGAGAGCGGCATTAGACTTGGTGTGTTCCAGGGAGCGGCAGGATGTGCTTTACCTGCACATAAAATGACTTAGAGCCCTCTCTTCCCCACCCCAACCTCTGTACAAAACGCACTCACGCCTTGAGCACAGAATTCCTGCTGTACACCCAGCAGGCTCTGCCCTGGGAGTGGAGGGATGTGTCTGACAGCAGGCTAGGTAAATGGCCAGTGAGGTTAGTGCACTGCAATTCTCTGCTCGGGGATTGGGTTGCATTCCCTTAGCCAGACCTCCGTGGTCTACGCTGCAGCTGGATCTTGCAAGCTAAGCAGGTGGGTTCTTCTATGAGAAACCTTCAAAACCCAAGCAGGTATTGCAGGCAGTGGTGGTGCACTCTTCCCCTTGAAGCAGTGCCTCAGCCTGCCATCTGTCAGGGCAGATGTAAAACCAACCTGCTGACCATTAACACTCCAGTGACCCTTTCCCCAAGTGTCAGGGGGTTAGCCCTGGCCAAAGATGCATGGTTATGCATGGTCTCCTCTTGCTGCTTCAGTCGGAGATAGTGCCATCAATTTCTATCCTGTTTTGTGGGCGTTGTGATGCGCTGTTGGACAGCTGTCATGTTCCGCCTCAGAGGTGGCTGCATTTCAGTAGCAGATGAGGTGATATATAGATACACCTACAAGTAAGGCATGCTGTGAGGCTTCATTACTTAGTGCTTTGAGTTTCTCTGATGAAAGGTGCCGTAGAAAGGCTAAGCATGTTACTGCCTGAGCAGCCAAATCTTGGAGCGATTCAAGTGTTTACCCTCTGTCCTGTGCATCGCTTCATTATCACTGCACTTCAGGCAGGGGGTGAGCCGCTCCCCAGGTGCCCACCTTTCCTTAGGGTGGGCATATCATGCCACCTTTCCTCTTGCAGACAGCAGACAATGCCCGAGATTTCTTCAAAAGGAAGATCGACTTCCTGACCAAACAGATGGAGAAAATTCAGCCGGCCCTGCAGGAAAAACATGCCATGAAACAAGGTAGGGACGTGTTGGCCTTTCTCTGGCAGGCCTGGTTCTGGGGCGGTGCCCACAGCTGGCACCCGCCTATTCTTAACAGCTAGAACAGCCCCAGGCCAACTCCCTTCACTGTGTGCGTGTTCTCTCCCTTGCAGCTGTGATGGAAATGATGAGCCAGAAGATCCAGCAGCTAACGGCCATGGGGGCTTCACAGGCTGCAGCAACGAAGGCATAGCCTTTGGCATTGGTCCCCCGGGCCCCGCACGCCGTGGCTTGACTGAGGCATTTTGTTCTGTTACGAGCAGAGTCTTAAAATCACCGAGGAAGCAGCTGGGGCCGAAACCCTCCCAGCCGTCGGGAGGCATCTGCTCTTTGTGCTGGTGGCTGTTACGTGCGCGCAGTGTCTTAAATGCAAACCTGGGGGAAACGCTTCCCCTTTTGTATGTGGCAGGTGATATCAATGTGCCAGATAAATTAAAGCAGTGCTGAATGGTACGCGGCCGCCTCTGGTGAGAGCTACACGAGGGGTGGGGCTAGGACGCCTTCCAGCTGTCGGTGTGGCCCCTGTGAATCCACTGGAAGTTGTTGCCAGCTGATGTGTGGGGTGGATCTGTCTGTCTAAAGGTTCTGTCTATCACCCTACTCTGAGCCCCTTCCACATAATAGCAAAGGCCCTACTGGAATGGTGGCTCTGGCTGCACAAGGGGAGGGTGGCAGGGGATGCAGCATGGGTGGGGGAGGGTTGCCTCTTCAGGGAGACCTAGTCTCTAGTTGGCAGACCTGGGCTGGAGCACTACAGGGAAACAAGGTGGTTCTCCTCTGAGATGCAATGGGGCAGCAGCCAGCTGGTGTGGCGATCAGAGCATCTGGTGAGCACCCCAGACACAAAGCAAGTCACTGGTACCTACCAGCACCCCTACCCCTGGCTGGATTTCAAGCTGTGGGTGCGTCTCTTGTCAGATACATGTTCCTTCTGGTCCCACCCCCCAGCTTCCTCTCCAGCCACTCAGCGCTACAAGCAGGGACCCAGTTTCCTGCTAGGGGGAGGAGGAAGGGCTAATGAGGCAGCAGGGGCCAGGCCTTGATGTGATGGGTTTTTGATGGGCTGGATGTGATGTGGTTGGGGGTGGGGTAATACTGGCCAGGCTTCAAGCTGCATGTAGACCTTGAGCAGAGGGTTGCCATAGAGATTAAGCCCAAGCTGGAAGCAGGCATCTGGTCAGCATCTTATGCCACTGGCTCTTTCCCTCCAGCTGCTCAGAGGCGGGAGAGTTCCCTCCCTCTTTGTCCCCAGCTGCTCAGAGGCAGGAAGGGAGATTGGTTCACCTCTGTTGCCCCTGGATGCAGTCCTTAGCGTTAACATTTTTAAAGCTCCCCAGAGGAGAGTGTGTCCCCAAATCCCTTAGGTAATTACCAATCTCAGCCTCCATTTGTGCACAGCTCCTCTCTCCGTCAGTTCAAAGGGATTCACCCGGAACACCTTCACAACCTAAAATAATGCACCTGGCTCTAACTTAAAGCCACCTGCTGCCAGGGCTGGAGAAAGGTGGTGAACAGAGCTAGAGGGGCCAACTGTATGGTCAACCCAGCTGGACAGAGACACCCCAGCTCATGGTTCCTGCTGAGTTTCATTCCCCAAATAGACAGCCCTCCTAGCTGAAACGGAGGATTTATTTTCACAAAGCTGCCACTGGTTTCTATTCCCCTTGGCAGAAGCAGCCTGTCTGAAACTCCTGCAGGAGTTGGGGCCTCCTGAAAGCCAGGCCCCGAGGTCTTAACCCCATTCAGCAAGAGACAGCTCATGCCAAGTCACCCAGAGGGGGAAAACGCCCTGCCCCCTTCTGCCAGTCATGCCTGAGAACTCCAGGAGTTGGAGAGAAGTGACTTGCAGTGGGGGATCAAGATCCTGGGGCCTGCGTTTCACCAGGTGCTGAGTGTCCAGGATCTTTAAGGGGGGGGAGGGGTCCATCTTGAGTTGGACACTGATCACTTGTGAAAACCTCAGGCAAAGGGAAACAGCTCTTCCTCTCACCTGTAAAGGGACTGCTCCCAGTGTGTACACCAGCCAATGCCCTGGAGTAGGCGCTGGTGGGATCCCTCAGGGGACTCCCTGCCAGCCAGGTGCCTTGCATTAGGTCACCGAGGGGGCTTTCCCAGGCCAGAGGGAACACAGACAGGCTGGGGGGTTGGTTCTGAGCTTCTGTTCTGCTTCACTCTTTCACTTCCATTGCCGATTCCTTCTTTCAGTCTCCAACCGGCCCACACCCGCGGAAGGGTAAGTCCTGTCCCATGCTAGCCGACTGGGGCAGGTCCACAAAAAGCTGCCAGCTAGGAGGGAGGGGGGACAAGAGGCTCTTAGAAGGGACAAAGAACCTTTGATTAATTCATGTGATTTTTCCCCCACCCCCATTATCCGTATTAGCACAATACCTGGGGCCCCCCACTCAGAGCAGGACCCCAAATATGGAACCACAGTGCCATTTCCTTCCCAATGAGCCCGAGCCACACAGAATCTACACCCCCAAAACAGCAGAATTTTATTCTACACACGAGGCACCTCCTCATCCACAATCCAGCTTTTAACGTCACTCCCCAGGAGAGGATGCCCTCCCCTGCACCTAGACGCTGGCTTCCCTAGGATGGGCGGTTGCCTTGTTGAGTATTATGGCTTCTACCTTAAACATCCCCCCACCCCCAACCCTGGTCCCCGCCCCCCACCTTATGTACATCTGTAAGCTCTGTCCCCTGTGAGTCTTTTGAGGTCTGCTTTCCAAGGGTTTGACCACAGCGTTGATACCGTGGATGGCCACGGGCGACCCGCACCGATCTAGTGGATGGCCATGTGACCCCATAGACAGCCACGTGACTTGCCAACGCTAAGTGCTTGTTGAGATCATGGAAGGTCACATGACGGGCCACGGGCATGCTCAACATCCGTCGATACAGCAGAGGGCCCTGCTCAGCACATCAATACCGTGGACAGCCACGTTCGGCGATGCTGGGGCTGGTCACGTGACAGGCATAGCCATGCTTTGCAGGCAGCAACGCTGCGGCCAGCCACGTGCCGAACCCCACTGAGCGCATCTTGATGCCGTGCATGGTCATGTGACAGGCACGGCCCCGCTCCACGCCCGTCGCTCAGCGCACGAAAAGGGGCTTGTGGACCCTCTTGTGCCGGTTGAGCGTGGCGCTCTTAGCAAAGCTCTCCCCGCATTCCACGCAGATGTAGGGCTCGTGCCCGTGGGCTTCGGCCCGGTGGCGCTCCAGCTCGGCACTCTCGCGAAAGGCCTGGCTGCACTCGGGGCAGGGCTGGCTCTGGCGGGCGGCGTGGAGCCGCTGGTGCTTGAGGAGGTTGGTGCTCTGGGTGAAGCCGCGGCCGCACTCAGCGCAGCGGTGGGGGCGGGCGCCCGAGTGGGTACGCTGGTGCTTGATGAGGTTCTTGCTCTGGGTGAAGCTCTTGCCGCACTCCCCGCACTGGTAGGGCTTCTCGCCGGTGTGGATGCGCTGGTGCTGGATGAGGTTGGAGCTCCAGCTGAAGCTCTTGCCACAGTCGCCGCAGCGGTAGGGCTTCTCGCCGGTGTGGGTGCGCCGGTGCTGCACCAGGTGCGAGTTCTGGCTGAAGCTTTTGCCGCACTCGCTGCAGGTGCTGGGCCGCTCGCCAGTGTGAGTCCGCTGGTGCCGCAGCAGCTTCGACCAGTGGCTGAAGCTCTTGCCGCACTCGTTACAGATGAAGGGCCGTTGCCGGCCAGCGGCACCGCGGTGCCGCACCACCATCCCCCCCTCTTCCTCCTGCCCGCCAGCCAACTCCACCAACTCGCTGCCATAGTCAGGGGGCGGCCCTGCCGGGCTCTCCGGCCCCCGGGCTTTGCCGCTGTTCCCGTCGGCTCTCTGGGAAGCCTTCTTCTTGGGCTTCTTGGCCAGCGGGCTATGGGGGATGACGGTCTGGATGATCTCGTGCTGAAGCTCCTCCTCGCTCTCGCTCACGATGCCGTCGTCAGCTGGAAAGCAAAGGGGAGCCGGGGTTGGCACAAACGCACAGCCCTGGGGCTCCGTCTGGAAGCCAGGGCTGAGCGCTGCAGAGCAGTCCAAGGGATCGGAGGTCCCGTTGCCATTAAAATTCACAGCAACCGGGTATTTGGATTCTCCAGGCAGCTTCGAAAGTCTCCCCCATAGTCCTCAGGGTGGGAGAGACGGCAGTTCTCATTTCAAACCCCGCCCCTCCCAGGAGAGGCCCCAAGCTTCCCCTCAGCCCCACTCCCTCATGAGCTAGGCTGAGGTGACAAGAGTGACCCACAGACCCCATGAGAACTGGATGGGGAAGCCTTCGGCTGGAGGTGTATTTACGGCCCAGGACCTATGAGACATGGGAGCCTTCCCTTCCCCCCCCCTTCCGGGACACTGTATGGAAGAGAAGGGGCGGGGGGGGGGGGGGGGGGGAGGAGGAGAAGCCCAGCTGCCTTGCACCCTGGAGTACACAGGGATCCCCTCTTCAGCCAGCGGCACAGCCGAACTCCCACCCATAGCAGGTGGGATGGGGCACTCGCCAGAGAGAGATCTGCACAAAGCGATGCCAAGCTTTGCCACATGCAGGGAGGACAGGAGGAGGAGAGATCCCAAGGGGAGGGCACGGAGGGATGGGGGTAGGACACCCTTTGGACGCTAGCAGTTTAATGGAGGAATTAAAGCCACCCAAGGGACCCGGGGTTCACCCTGAAGGTGGCTCCTTGAGGCACCAGCCTGCTGAGGACCCTGCCCTCAGTAACCCCCAGGCACCCTCTTCCCTTCAAATCAAAGCCACTTGGTAAGTGAAACAGCAGGTCGCTCTGAGGGGAGGGGCCTCCCCGGAGTCTCACTGAATTGGCAGGGAGCCATGAGTGACACCTGCATCCATGTGGGAAGAACGGCCCAGCCTAGGACTTGGCAGACCCAGGGGGTTCGAGTCCTTGCTCTGCCACAGCCTTCCTGTGTGGTGACCCTGGGCCTCAGTTCCCCCTCTGAACAATGGGGATGCCCAGCCCTGCCTCAGAGGGATGTGTGAGGATAACTCCAGTGACAACTGGAAGGTGCTTAGATACAATGCGAATGGGGCCAGACAAGTACCACCCATAACACGAGGAGCGCTAGGCTAGGACAGATGGAACTAAGAGTCCCCTTCACCCCGTGGGTCTCAGCTCCCTCCACCCACACTTCACCGATCGGTGGCTCCTGGCTTCGCGTCCGTCCTCACCTATGTAGACTCGTCTAACGATATCAGGGTCATCAGAGTCATGGAGCTCCACCACGCACGGCTCTTCTTGCTCCATTTGGGGGGGGGAAGGAGAAGTGAGGAGTCAGGAATCCTGCTAATGGGAGAGAGAAGAGAACACAGCCTATTAACTCTCTGCCCCAGGCAGCGTCACCCTACAGAGCCCGTTCCCCACACATGCAGCCATTGAATCTGACACGAGATGGGTTAAGCAGTAAGGCCAGGAGGGACCACTGTGATCTCACAGCCT